TTTTTTTTTTTTTTTTCATTTTCACGCTTAAATTTACATGCACTTTTGCACTTTTTTTATTATATATTTCCACGAATCGTCTTAATTTTTTAATTTTTTTGATAATGATGACACGAAGCCATCGAAAAGTCGAGTTTCCTTTATATCGTTGATTTTTGTTTCAAAATAAATTACTGCTCAAGAACGTAAAGGACTGGGATTATTGCGAATTATATTTTAGTCTGCGAACGTTGAGGAACAGTTTCTTAATCGCCATGGTTTTCTTTCTTTTCAGATCGATATTTTCTCCTCTGAAGTCAGAAGTTCAGCACTGATGCATCTAAGTCACGTGAATTTGAATTCTATCAACTCCCTGAATGTGTTTCATCCTTCTGTAAATAAGTTGGCTGGTGGAAATTCAAGTGGAAAGGTGTATTTGTGGACGGAATAACACAAGCATTAAATCACTAAATCGAGATTTTATCAGCCCGGCGTCATTACCAGGAAATCGACGAGAATTGTGATTAGGGCCCGTTTTAAGAAAGTCCCGGCAACTTGTCCGGCTCGAAGGCATGTTTTTAAATCATCAAAATCTTACGTTTGTAAAGGCATCCACTTCGATGCGTTAAAGGCCTTTCGTCCACACAAATACTTTGAGCGTTTTCATCGAAAACGCATCGATTTGACAACGGTCTTAATAGTGGATCAAAACGAAAACGCATACATACCGTATTTAGTGTGAACAGCGGTCTAAAACGCATCAAAACGGTAGTGTGGACGAGAATCGATCGATGCGTTTACGATGACAACGAAAACGCATACTTTTGAAAAGGCATTAGTGTGGAAAGGGCATAAGTTTATATTCCCTGACTTGCAAAAACATCAAAACTTAACTTCAAGCATGGCATACATGCAACAGCTTTCCGGGCCCGAAAATAGCTAGGAATTTTGAATAGACTTGGGTAACATTCCACATGTTTTGTTGTCGTTTTGTTTTTAGTTCATGGAAGAGGAAAAAAGAACTGCTAACTTCCGAAAATCCCAGGTACGAGTTATCTTGTACACTGAATCAGAGCATACTAACGAAGAACCTGCACAATTGCTCACCAAAACATAAATCAGCAAACGAAACAAAAGGACAATAGACCCCAATCGCGGGTCTTCGTTTCACAGACACGAGGCAGATACTCGACAGCTGATATTAGGGCCATTTATACGAGGAAAAATAAGACGCGTCTTACATAAGACGCGTCTTAAGTAAGACGCAAACTGTACCATTTATACGAGCATGTCTTATCTAATAAGACGCGTCTTAGCTAAGCCGCGTCTTATTTCAGACGAAATGTGCCGTTTATACGGAAAGTTCGCGTCTTGTTTAAGACGCGTCTTATTTTTCCTCGTATAAATGGCCCTATTGTGAATGAAAAAAGCTCTGAAGAATAACCGTGCCACAACACAGTAGCTAATCAAAGGTTGCCTTCCACAACAAGCGAGAAAAGCCGTGAAGACGAGGACTGTTTCGTGCAGCCATTATTTTTAATCGACTTCAGGTGTTTGAGAGAGCGTCTGAACTTAACTATCAGCAATCTTAAAAATAAAATATTCAATAATGCCACTGGAAAGGTTGCAAAATTCTGCTCGCTCTAACGTTACCACGTACCTCTTGGTATTTCCAGCAACTCGCTTTATCTCGCGCGATATATCGAAGACCCCGGAAAGAAGGAAGGCTGTTAAGTTGACTACTCTAAAGACCAGCCTTCGACTCGGAGAAACCCCGAACACTTGACGCTACGAATGGCGAAATCATACCCCTCCCCGAACCCTTGTCCAAACCTTAGCCTCCTAAAATGTTCTAAACAAGGGAGTACCTCTTGAGCAGCAGCGTGTTTCTACACAATGAATGGATTACAGGGTTCACCACTTGTATAAGTAACAAAGGGCTTTTTTCGTTGCATGGGCTCGCAAGATCAGGTGACTCATCCCTTAGTTTCACTACAACTGGGTGGGGAGCAACACCAAAAATCGCCATAAGTCATTCACCAAAATGATACAATAAGGATGGGATGCGACCGGTGTTGATCTCGCCTCAAGCAAGCATTTAATACGGCTGCACAAGAACAGCAAGAATGCAGAGGTCTTGTTTCTTAGTTAAATAATTTGTTTATTTACTTTTCTGATAAATTTCCTATTGTGAACAAAAACAACACGAGTTGCATCATGTTAATGAATTCGCCTTCACTGTGGGAGTATCTCTACATCCAGTGTCGCAGCATCGTTGGCTCCTGGAGTCATTAAAACTTCAAAAAAAATCTCCATGTCATTCGTCAGTGTAGTGTTTCAGTGAAAGTCGTGGAACAATGTTCATGGACAAAAGTTCTTGGAAGAGCAGTTTGCAAGCGTAAGGTATTTTCAAAGTGGAAATGTTGTGTGAAGACGAACAGTAGTGGCACCTGCAAAGGAATAACACAATAGCGTATGACCTTAAGTCAATAGCCTGTGTACAGCCTCCCCCTTTCCGAATTTTTTACTGGGGGGTGGATATGTACAGTTTATAAGTCAAGTGTTCGAGTGTGTTATGAATATCACTGTATACACAAGCAAAGCGGATAGGAAATGATACTTGGTCCATCAACCTGTTCGGCGTTATGTAACACAAGCCTCTATGCAACGGTAATTTTGAAGGTTCGTACGAACTGTTACGGACGTTTTTACAGTTACGTCTCTGAATACCAAAAGCCCTTAAGAGACTGATCTCTAAATAAGGGAATTATCGAGTGTTCTTACCATCCAGAGTAACCCATCAGCCCACACTCACTACAAACGTCAACTTCAAATGCGTCACTAGAAATCATCAGCCTTTCAAGCAGAAGCATGCTGGTACGAAGCAAAAAAGATGATAATCATATAACGAAAAAATATTCAGTAACAGAGCTGACAACTATAAGGTTTCATTTTGAAAGGATTCCACCCAGAGAATTGCAAATCACCACGCATTACCCGTTTTAGTTGCATATAGTTAATTTTACTTCGTTTAAATGAATGACAGTAAGTATAGTTAGCAACTGTTAGACACTTGTTTCACACTGCCTGTCTAAAACTTGGATACATCACATCCAGAAAAGAGGAGTACAAAGTCTCCCATTTGCTTTACGCTAAAGACTATTTTGCAGTAGCAGACATAAAGACTACACAGGAACCTCATGACTTTCGAATTTCAAGTTAACAGGATTTGAAGAGTCGCGCTTAAGCGCAAACTCACACTTGTGGTCCAATTGGGAGGTCCATTGTTTCGCTGTGTACTAAACAACAAAGACATTTAATATGACTAACAGTTAAAACAAGTATCGAGATTTTACAGAACGTAAACCCACCTGGCACCGTAGGCTATCAAGCAGTCGCGCTCCATTTCACCCAATCGCAAGCCACCGTCCCTGAAAAAAAAGAAAATGCCAGGTTACTCAGTTACCAAGTTTAGCTCCTTTTGTAAGACAGACCTAAAATGAATTCTAGTCGTTTGCCTTCTANGGTTACTCAGTTACCAAGTTTAGCTCCTTTTGTAAGACAGACCTAAAATGAATTCTAGTCGTTTGCCTTCTACAACACGAAAAACAGTAGTTACAGTAAATCGCGTCGTGGTAAATTAAAATTACAGTTTGGCAATAAAAGGGAAGGTTTGGAATCACGCTCGGGAAATCAGATTCAAGCAAACAATTTCAAAAACTAGGAAAATTATGGAGTCGGTATAATGAGAAGTAAACAACAACTAAAGGCAAAAACTTGGCCACGTGGTACAACGTGACATACACCGTTTGCCATATACGCGATTGTACACCTGTAAATTATAATACCACTACTTGTCACCTTGAGCGACCTTCCGTTGGTTGACGTGTTAACACAGCTCTTGGCCCCTAGATAAACAGGAGATTCGAGAATGCACACCATGTCAGTATTAACGTCCTGGAGTCAGAGAGAGGCAAAGATTAACACAGTCAAACTTCGGCTTTTACATGGACACCAAAGGCACAGGGTCAAGTGTTCGCATGACAGAGGTGTCTGTATTATAGAGACAGAGATCCTTTTTAGTTAAACCAATCGTTCCTTCTTCACAAAGCTATTACATACGTTTAGTTTTAGCTGAAGGTTTTAAGGTGAAGTTACACGGGACGATTCGCAACGACAATTGCTTGTTGCGATATTGTTTCGAATGGTTGCAACATTGTTCCAACATTGCTACAATGTTTTGCACTCAAAATTGTCGTTGCAAATCGTCTCATGTAATGTCATCTTTAGCGAGTAAAACTCGGGTCCTAGATTCATGAAAGAAAACCTCTGACCTTGGCACGAGCGTGCATCTTATCCAACACCATGTGTTTTAGCTTCTGATAATAGACCGGGCAAAGCAAATGTAGGCTGTTAATGACTCTCTACAGGCGATTAAAACAAAGAACGCCGAAAATCAAATGAAACACGTGTTACTAGATTTTCCCCACCCCTTCGACACCCCGATGATGTAAGCGAGCGGATTCTAGAAAAAATAAGTAAGTAAATGTGGTGGGCCTTATTTTTTATTTTTTTTTTTTAGACTGCGTAGTAGACACTTTCGTTTGAGTGCGTTTGTGAAGAAAAACTCGGGGCCAGGCAACAAAAGGAATAGACAAGTCAGGGATTTTTTCCCTTCTGCTTGTGGTTTATCGCCTGCGATAGTGACGCCTGCTAGTGACGTCATCAGAGGATGATGTGACGTAAGTAAGGGCTTTTATAGCTGGGTCCTGGAGAGGTGTATCTAGGGTGAGCCCTGGTTTAACTATTATCACGTAATCTTTATACAGTCAAACCTCTTTAATACGGACACCAAAGGGACAGAACCAAGTGTCAGCTTTACAGAGGTGTCCGTATTATAGAGGTAGGGAATGTATGATTTTTGGCATTTCTGGGACGAAATGAACTGTCCGTATTAGAGAGCTGTCCGTATTATAGAGTGGTCCGTAAGGAGAGGTTAGACTGTATACGTAGTTTTTTAATATCTAGGGTCAAGTTATTTTGATTTCTGGCATGCATTGTGCTGTATTGCAAACCTGCGTTAATTGTACTTTAACCTTTTAAGCCCCAATATCCACATACAAATTCTCCAAACTGATATTTATACATTTCCTGAGAGATCAGTTGAGAGAGTTTAATAAAAGATCAAAGCATTTTCTCTTCGGTGATCATTTGATTAATTCTCGTAACCATTTCTTTTAACAATGTATGGATATTGTTAGGAGAAAATTGTTGTTGGTCACTATTGGGACTTAAAGAAAAGCTGTAAAGTTCTTTTGGGGGACAGTGTACACACTCCCAATGGAAAAACGTCAAATCCCAGTCGTGACAAACGAATTCTCTTGACCAGCCTATATTTATGGGGATATCGTCACTCGTCAGAAGTCACGCGTGAGCAAAATGCTCTTAGGGCACAACCGATTGTAATCAATACCGCAAGTTAATTAAAACGAGAAGATACTGAAGAGTGAAAAAAAAATGATTCCTAGTAAAGAAATGATTTATTTATTTTGATTATTTATTTATTAGAAAAGAAAGAAAGAATAAGCGTCAGGGTTTCCCTCTTAAATTATGGACCTTGATATCAAAAACTGAATGCCATTTTATTATTTAATTTATTCTTTTTTCTTTTTGCAAATCTCAATTTCTAATTAAAAAGATTACTTTGTAAATACTTGTTGAGGAACGCCTTCGGTGCACATGTATTTAGTTGACTACTCGCAGCTCCCCTGGTCTGTTCCAGGCTCCGAGATAGTCGGGTCCGCGAAATTGAGAAAGTGTGATCACGAAAATAAAACGGGAGGAAACTGTGGAGCCACCAGTCCGCTCCACCTAGATCACACACTCATATTTTCGCGTACGTTTCATTTACATGGCATACTTAGGCTAGGCTACAGCTCCCCAAATGGAGAACTTGTTAAACCCCTTTTCCCCATGAACAGTAACTAAGTGTGTGACTTTTAATGTTTGATCGGGGGGAGGGATCTTGGTAACGCGGTGTTTATGTATATGCATTGCTGGCTACATTCAAATTCCAAACAAAGACTGACGTGAAGAAAGAAAAGTGTCCCAAAACCTTTTGGACATCATTGCAGTTGTCCGGCGTTGTTGAAAATACGCTAACTTACCAAAAAGCAGCTCTCTATAAAAGAAAAACGGACCTGCAAAAACAGTGTTTTTGATTTTGTGAAACAGTTGAATAAAGGTCAGGGAACAGGACCCACCCGGAACTTAGTTCTAAGAAATGCCCGATATTTCACAATCATTCTCAGAAGCTACTTAACGTCAAAACATGTCAAGTAAGTCTTTTTGATTGGTTTATAACATCATTTCTTGAGGGCAATTATGCGCAAAATCCACAAAAAGACTCCCATTCAACATAGTTTTCGCCGTTCCGTCACGTTTACCACTTTCGCGACCGCCAACACAGTCAGCATGGATATTCAAACCTTGTTGAACAACCTTCATGAAGAGTTATCATGTTCTGTGTGTATGTCCAAGTACACCGATCTAAAACAGTTGCCGTGCTTGCATAGTTTTTTCCTTCATTGTCTGAATGGGATTCAACGAACGAGTGGTAGACGAGATAAAATTGCGTGCCCGGAGTGTAGACAGGAATTCAATGTCCCTGATAATGGAAACCTAAATGCTTTGCCAACAAACTTTCGTATCAACAGCTTGCTCGATGTATTAGCTATAAAGGAGTGCAGCACAACCGGAGTTAAGTGTGGAAATTGCGACGAAAGAACCAAACAGAGCCATTATTGTTTCCAATGTTACGTTTTCTGGTGCGAAGAGTGCATTGGTCTCCACAATAGGATGAAAGCCAATAAAGATCACTATGCCTTGGCATTAGAAGACTTTCAAGATCAAGACTTTGAGAACATTTTAAAGAGGCCAGAATTTTGTGCAATGCCAGGCCACGAAAAGAAAGAAATAGAGTTTTTTTGCAAGATTTGTGAAGTAGCAATTTGTAACGCTTGTGCATTGACCGATCATGATGGGCACGGAAAGATTCTTCTGGAACAAGCTGCAAATGAACGGAAGTTAAAAGTTATGTCCGCGATTGAATCTCAGAGAAAAAGACCTCTAACAAAGAGAAGCAAAATCACCAAACTTGACGAAAGCCTTAGTGAAGTTCAAGAACAAGCCGCTCGTGTGAAGAGAAACGTAAAAAAGTATGCTGACAGCATCATTGCAACCATTGAAGCAAAGAAACAGGAGATCTTTGATGATGTGGAACGAAGGACAAAAGCATCTCTTCAAAAAAATGAAGGGCACGGAAAGATTCTTCTGGAACAAGCTGCAGATGAGCGGAAGTTAAGAGTTAAATCTGCAATTGAATCTCAGAGAAAAAGAGCTCTAACAAAGAGAAGCAAAATCACCAAGCTTGACAAATACCATAATGAAGTTCAAGAACAAGCCGCTCGTTTGAAGAGAAACGTACAAGAGTATGCTGACAGCATTCATGCAGCCATTGAAACAAAGAAACTGGAGATCTTTGATGATGTGGAACGAAGGACAAAAGCTTCTCTTCAAGAAATTGGAAAGCAAAAAGAGGAGTTTGAAGAACAGGCTAAACAACATGAATCAGAAATAATAGATACTGAAACCCTTTTAAAGCGAAGCACAAGCGCTAAACTCATGCAGCCGAACGAGCAGATGGACAAAATATTAAAGGAAGAAAAGAACCAAGAAGACAGAAGTGATCGTGATGACTGTCCATTTCAGAAATTTGATTTTGTGGAGAATCACAAGTTATTTGATCTCGTAAGCGCTGAACAAATTGGTTCCCTTGAAACAAGAGCGCAACAATCAAGTGCTGATGGAAAAGGAATCAGTGAGGCAATTGTTGGACTTGAAGCACAGCTTGTCGTGACAACAAGAAACAAGAAATGCCAATCGTCTTACAATAATAATGACTGTGTCACACTAGAAATCAGTAATCGGCAAGGCGATAACAGCGCAGCTGAAGTGCAAGTCCAAGATAACAAAGATGGTACTTACAAGATCAAATATTTTGCCAAAGAAACAGGAACATGCAGTGCATCAGTGAAGGTTAATGGAGAACATATCCGTGGCAGCCCTTTTGAGGTTCAAGTCAAACCCAGACAGTTCAGACCTGTGTTATCTTTTGGAGAACAAATATTGAAGAAACCTTTTGGGGTAGCAGTTAAGTGGCTGTCCACCTAAGAGCGGTCCGGCGAGTTTGGGATCGCCCGTAAACCTTCCCTTTAGTTTTTGTGGGTGAAAAGGACTTAATGAGGAATGATTAAAATCGAGCGAATTTTTTTCAAAATCTTTTTCTGTGCTTCGCTACAGCATAAAACTTCTTTCCTGTCTGAGAGCGCTTTTTCAACTTTATTCAATGGCCAAAATTCAGTAATTTTAAAAGCCGCGCTTCTTCGTAACGGATAAATGTCGCGAAATTCTACATAGTACAATGGATTTAGCTGCATTTGACGTGTCCTACGACGGTATCTTGGATAATTTGACGCAAAATTAAATAAAATTAATAAGATCAAAGACGAGCCACTTTACCGTTTTTTTCTCCCTTGACAAATTCCTCCAAAGTACTGGAGCTAAAATCTCCAAAGCGGTACAAAAATCACGGGCAAAATGTACTTCACAGCAAAGATCTGACCTTATTCTGTTAGAAAATAAACTCAAAGGTGCGGGTATCATTCTGCGTCGGACGCGAACAAGCGTTTTTGAGAGCTCCTTTTGTCGATATTTACCTAAAATTGCAGGTTTGGCGCCTACAATTAAACTCATATGATAAGGCTGATATTTTTCTCACGGGGCAGAATCTTGTTTTGGTATGCTTCGTCAAAATAACGCACATTTGTTGTTTTGTAAGCCATCTTAGGCCTGCAAACCGGCATAAAATGTCATAAAATACATGTAGGAATTCTTCATCTACTCGTACATTATGCAAATTTAAAAGCTCATTTGCAGCGGGTTGTCGATTTCAGCAATTTTCAAAATCGTAAAGAATACAATTCACTTCTGCTCAAACGAAGCCCTTTTTGAGTTTGGAGTCTCAGCAACTAAAAGGCTCTTTAATAAAGACTGAATTCAGCTCAATTTCCTTTTGGGTTTTCTTCATGGTCATATGCTAATTATAGGGATTGTTGTCACGCAATGAAAGCGGATTTGGAGAGTTTGTAAAGGAGCAAGCAAGTTGATGCCTCTTAGTCAATGTAACAGGTGAGCGTTATTACGGCTCATTCGAGGCGTTGTCACTTAACGAAAAAAAATATTACAGAGAGCGAACTTACTTTGCAGCGGGCTGGGTATTTGGTAAAACTGCGCAACAAGGTGAAAAAATGTTTGCTTGTCCGATACATCGTGCGAACCTAGGGAAGGACTGGGGTAATCCAACTGGCCGCACAGAATGTCGATATCCAGACCATAAGGGAAAACAGACTTGTGTAAAAAGTGACAGAGTGTCGGGGTCAGACTGTAAAAATTGCCGCCAACCGAGAAACTTCCAAAATCTCCTAGTGGTGTCTGCAAATTCGAGGCTAGCGGATGGGCGGCTACAGAAATTAAGGGAATTCAAATTCAAATCATGTCAAATGCTGGAAACGGAAAAAGAAACTCAAATGGAATATGAGATAAATTTCTATTTTAAAAAGGGTATCCAGTTGCTAAGTTTCCAAGCTGAAGATTGATTACATTTGAGAAGAATTTAATAACCGTACAGAGTTTGAGATTTTAACATAGCTGAAATGGACAACCTGGCTGTAAACAAGCACGATTTGCATATCCGACGGGTTGATCAAGAATGTCAATTTATGACATTTTTTTCGGCTTTCATTTATACAAACTTAAAAAGGCTAGTGAAAAGAAAACATATGTTCGTTATTTTGAGGATACACAACAACATTCTCAGCTGCTGAGAAAATATCTACTAAATTAAAGTCGTTGTGTGTGAACCGTTAAGCGGGCAAATCTATGCAAATAATGCCGAAAAGAG